GCATATTATATACCTAGTTTAAAGTTTAAATTTCAACAAACAAAAAATATTTAGGTACTCAGTATGGTTTCGCCAATTCAGATGTATACAAAATTCAGTAGATAATTTATTATCTAATTTAAATATATTATTTATATTTTATAACATCAATATATTAATAACATGCATACAAATTACTTATTCATATACCTATTATTATGCCATGAGACTGCACGATATTAAATTTTTATTATTGTAACATAATAATATAATGTACTAGATATTTGATTTAATTCAGAACTATTCATCTGTTTAATTTATATAGCAACTAGAACAGCTGGTTCTGAAAATATATATCATACGTCAGTCATAAAACAAAATACGTCAAAATATGTCCCTAATTTGTTATGAATAATGTTGTGAAATTAATTAATTTTTGTTGGTTTTTCTTATGTTGTAAGATATTCAAAATAATTGATAATTCAAAATCTCATCTAATTTGATATGTAAAATAAAAATGTATTGTCAAAATAATATAGAAATACCTATTGATACGTAAATGTGTAATACATATACCCTTAAAAATATTAGTTTTTCAAAAAAAAAGTTAAATCATCATATGTATGCGTATATTAATGACAAATGCATACTCATCTTTCAAACAAAATTAAATTCACATTAATACTCGCCATTTCAAATAAGCTGGATTTAACAACGACATTTGTTAGAATGTATATATACACATAATAAAAGCAGGTGTTTAAGATTCGCAGGATATATTATGTATATGTCGTCGTACAAACTTAAATATTATGTATTGTATATTGCATGTATATTAAATGGTATGACGATGAGTTGTACTCGTATATACCTAAATATATTTCGACAATAGATTGTCAGTATACAAGCTTATCGTTATGACGTTTGTTTTCGGTCCGTATTCCCAAAGAACTAACGCATATATACACACATAATATATATGTGACTGCCGCCAGAGGAAATAATAATAATAATAGAAGTGGAAGACAAGAAAACATCTCGGTGCTGGAGGAAACAATAGTATAATATGTGTGTAGTGCACAAACGTATACATTATAAGAAAGAGAACTACACACGTCTCATATATTTTATAGCATATATGCATAATATATCATGTATATGGCGGCGGCGAAGCGAGGGGATCGGTACACGAAAAGGAGTGGTGCCGGGTGCCGGGTTGGTAGTTTTTGAGTGCGTGAAATTCACGCTTTCCGCACGGCCAAGTCGCCGAGTGAAACAGCGGTGGCACGTGCGGACGGAATGCTTTTGTGGGGATCCTACGCCTTTCGTCGAGCGTCAAAATGTTTTTATTAAATTTTAAATTGCAGTCTGACGTGTATGTTTTACATCACGCGCGCACGCCTTACATAATACGCGGTCAACGCTACAGTACAGCGCCCCCTGCAGACGTCGTTTGCGAGTACTTGTCACGTAAAGTACCCATAATAATCTATATATATTATATCTGATATAAACATCCAACTGTGTCTTTTTTTCATAAATATATTTCCATGTGCCTATATCGAAGTGAGTTGCACATGAAATTTTGTCGTTTTAAATACTATATTATGATATGACAATGACTATATAGTTGTTACAACATGTAATATTAAATTTTAAACGTTTATACTTCGTTTGTATAATCATTCAATGATACATTTTTATTTCATCTGAACTGCAATACCATCATTTTGCAGGCTCAATTTTCAATGTGGTTGCGTAGTAGGTACTTTGTCATAACATTATGTATGTATTTCTTATTACTTCAAATAGGTACTAATGCGTACTATGTAAAAGTAAACCTAGTTTAATATGGTAGGTATACAATTCCTATTAACTATGATCCTGATACTTGTACAATTATATATTTGTAGGCATTGTAGGTCACAAGTTTCAATGACAAACCCAAGAGAAGAATCTTTAAAGTAAAACGGTATTTAAAATATAAACAACWCATCGCAAGAGTTATAAATTTACTGATAAACATCGTGATTACCTAAGAAAGGGGGAGGGAGACAAAGCCATAATCAGAATTAGATGGACAATACTTAGTATTGAAGTTTACAATCATAACTCTTTCGGCATTGGCGTCCCTAGGGGGGGGAGGGGGCAAGACAGGGCACTTTCCCCCCACTGGAATAATGTTATTTCCACAGCAATTACTAAAATTCTGGTATAATAATGTTTTTAATGTTTTAATTGTAATAATAATACCTACCTAATTGTAATGTTTTAATTCATAATTGTAATAATACCCCTCCCCCCTAGAAAAATATCTGGGGACGCCCATGTCTTTCGGACAAATTAAATAAAGCTAAAACAATAGCAGATAAAACATTTACGGGAATATAAATTTAAGCTGTAAAGAGTATTGCTTTGCTCGGAACTCATGATTTTACTATACAATATACATCACCGCTCAAAATTAGTCGCTGTAGATATCGGCAGAAACTAATAAAATAAAAAATGCATACATTTTTCAGGATCGCGAAATGCAACGATAAAAAAACTCCCAATAATTGTTTAATTAGTTCTTACCTACCTACTACGTATACAAATAAAATATGAAAACTTTTAGCTGTACCAGTTCATCATTGACACCATGCATCGCGTTTCATTGCCAACATAATAATAGATCGTGTGACAACGCCCGCCACAAATATTTCTACAGTACCGCAATATTATCGTACGTGTTTTATGACCTCCAACACAATAATATATTTTTCCAAAATTAGCGTAATAACCTGAAACAATATAATTTAATGATATGCAATATGCATATTATGTAATATTTAACATACTTAATGTTATAGTACCTATAATAAATCAATAACACGATTTCGTTATAGGCTTACGTAAGTTCAATAATATTACTGCAATGTTCGAACATATTATGCTGTACGGGATGTTATATTAAACTAATTTAGAAATTAGGAATTTACTATCAATAACTTGCTCTTTTAATTGAAACCTTCTACGGGTTAGTTCTGTGTTCATATTGTATAGTATCAATTTTACATTATATAAATATACGTGTATAAATATATATATACCTATATATAAACTATATACCTACATATATATTATGTATCGCTGTAAAAATATCCTTTGCGTATTATATTATGTATTTCACGATGAATCCTCTGAAATTTTTTTCCGAATCAATCGATCTGAACGTTTGTTTTCATTTTAACTAAATCAAAAACGTGAATTTTCTCTTAAAAGTTTACTGCCCTACCAATTGCACTGATCTTGCCACGAACGCTTTGAGTATATTATATTATATGCACTATATAGACTACATAATGTAGTTTTATAAACCCAGGCTGATTATCATTTTATGGACGACAAATTTCCTAGTTATAAATTTATAAATAATCTCAAAAATGTTTGTATAGGTACCATTTACGAAATACTTCAAACGACATTGGAAAGTATAATTAAAAGACAATAGTTGAAAGTTTGACGTGTATCACATATATAATACAATAGTCAGTTAACTAGCTAGATTGGATAGCTAGCTAAAATAAGTTAGGTACCTATAGCCATACTCTAAAAGTTTTGTATATACAGAATTAAAAAAAAAAAATTTTATTAATCTAAATATTATTTACAATTTTTGCTTACACATCTTGTGGTCATTACATTTAATATTATACTGGAATATATATATAAATGAATAATTATAGCTGTTAGTTTTCAAATCTTTATAAACAGTATATTYCTACACAGTTATACTATTAAATTAAAGATTCGTACAGTATATAGGTGATATAGTGATTTTAACACTGCAGTGACACGTGTTGAAACGATATCATTGCTCGTGCGGCGCATATTTGACGTTTTATCATTGTCGCGTGGGTGTATTTGGATCCGGCGAAATAAGTGTTTTAATATATGGCCATAATAATCATAATATTGTCAATATGATAACATTACGCATAATAATCTGTACGTTTATCAGCAGGACGATTCTCGATGATTCGTGCGGGCTGGCGCGCGCGTGTGTGTGAAAATTGGTGACAGGGTTATAATCTGCAAAAGCCATCGCCCGGGACGCACATTAAACGGCCGGTGCGCGGGGGGCTGGGCGTAAGCGTTTTATCGGTGTGCGATTCGGTGTTAATAATTCGTCAAAGTTGTTCGACTTGTAACTACAACACGCGGAGGCGTTACCAATCAGCCGCGGCGCCCGCCCGGGTTTCAGGGCGCCTTTGATGTTTTAATTAAACCGTGATTAACGCGCGCGCCACCCGCTGCCGGCCCGCGAGGCTGCTTCTCGGCGAGGGTCGGTTACACAAACAGCCGGCCGGGTATATGGGGACTAAACGCGCAGCGACGGCTGGACGACCGGCCGAAGAATTTCAATATCAAACACTGCAGCTATATATAATATAATACGCTGCGAATTAAAAAACTATCTATACGGCACCCGCACACCATGCACGCCCCACCGTCGGTGGTGCTGTACAAATACCGACGAAAACAAACTGCTACGCTGGTGTAAAACGAATTAATTTATAATACGGAACAGAATATATTATCGTCGTGCAGTGATGTATATTACATAGTTTATCAACGCGCCGGTTGACTGATCGCGTACGTACATGCAAGCCGCCGCGCGTATACGCGTATTATTTTTACTATTGGCGCTCATCTCGCTTAATCCTTTTTAGTTTTTTAATTTTTCCGCGCGTATTTAATGCGTTCGTACAACACCCGACGCGCGGAAAACCAAATCCTTTACCCTCGTCGACGCTGGTGTACACATCGGGTATATAATAAATTACATTTAGATTGATTTTCCGTTGCCGTCACGCATTTGATCGTTTGGTTTTGGATACCGTCTTTTGTTTGTTTTTTATTATTTTATTTGATACAACTACGCAAGGGGGTGCGTTGTGTATTTGATACGTCGTGAACTCAATGTGTGTAATATGTGTTATAGGGTTGTAATTTTTGTGTATAACGTGTATTTTCAGGGCGTAATCAGATTCGCGGACGGTTCGATGGCTATGATACAAAGCGTCTACGACATGTACGAGTTTCAGGAGATGTCCAAAAATTTATCTGAAGTACCACCGGGCAGCAGAATTATTCTAATAGGTAAGTAATTATTTTATGTTCTATATTATATTGTAATGGTTAAAATCGTTTTAGTGACCTCTCTCATAACACTCGTTAAATGGATAAACATTGTGRCATTTCATTTATTTAAATCTCATCGTCCAAGTTTTTATCAAAAATAAAGTTAATACATCAGCATAAAACTTTTTTTGAATTTATTATCACTGATATGAAGATCATGAAATGCAACAAAATTCTCATTTATAAGAAATATTTTTGTTTTTGAAGAATTATATTACATTTGTGGTGAATTATACTTTGTTTCTAACCATAAATAATGTAACCAAATACTTACACATTTATCAAATTTTTGTAGTACTTTATCACAAAAAAATAATTTTTTCCCAAAATATTCCTATTTTTTTATGTGGTTAAGTGGTCTGCAAACTTGTATTTATGTTGAATTTTTCCATTCGAGGTATTAAACCAATTAAAATAATTGCCATAAGCTGCATGTATATAAAAAAGAAAGAGGAATAAAGTATATAAACACTTTCTTTTAATTATAACATAACATATATATTGTATATAAAAGTGTAAGTAAAATTGTAGAATGAAAATGTCAAGTATTTACATTTGTTCGTTTTTGAATTACAACATAATAAGGAAAATTGTTGAAAACTGGTTTTGTGTTTTTCATTACGTACATTTCCTCATTACCACCATATTCTTCAAATAACTATAGTAACGTACTGCAATGTAAATCCTTATGAAACATCTAGGTATCAATTGCACCTCAGAGACTATACGGCCTGTCAGTAAATCTGCGCACATACGTACATAATCTTGGAGAAAAGAGTATTGCGTGAAAATTTGTGCGATTGCTGATAGTAAAGCCAAGGAATTGTCACAAACGCTTTCCTTTGGTTTTGGAACATCGGAAGCTCGCCATATTGGCCTAACCATCTAGCTATTGCTAGGTTTGAATAGCATTCACTTAACATATTTAATGTTATAAAGCTATGACCAGATATTTTATCATAACAACACCTTCGTATAATAAAATAGAACTGGTTTTTTCTGAACCAAATTTCTTAAATTGCTTTACAACCGAATCAGTTGTATCACAACCGAATAAGTTTTTGCGATCGTTCATTTTTACAGTAGGATCGATAGAGGTGTATTTGTTCACTTGAATAATAATAAACAAAAACAAGGATCTCTTATAAAAACTTTAGTCATCTTTGCACTTCATAAAATATAATGCTGTTAAAGAATCTGCATGTCTTCTTTGAGCTTTAATTTGCTTGTGTTTTTGAATACGTAAAGCATTTCCAGTAGGTAGAATAGCTGGTTCAGATTCTCCTGATGAAAAAAGTGCAACGTATCCAAATATAGTTTACAAAACTCAAGTTAATGTTTTCTAATAAAAGTTTTAATAATATAAATTTTTTTATTATTGTAGTATACTAGTACTAAATATTGGGGCTTAAAAAAGTTAAAAAAAATTAATTTTTTGACGTGGGTGGGGCAGGAGTCACGCTTCCTTCGCCTTACCGTGGGTTTTTTTTAGCTTTTTCAGGGGTGGAAGTTGAGTAGAAATTCCGGGAATGGTGGCAGGATGAGGCAGGAATTAGGCACTAAATATTAGCGTTTGAAAAAGTTAAAATGTGTAATGGGTGGTGGTGAGGAAATGTACGTTTTTTCATTCGCGTACCTACCACGTTTTCCCCAAATATTGATAAAAATAAGTACCTATTAGTTCCACCTACCTATAAGAATTTTATTTTTTACCTTTGACCAACTAGATTCACTTTTCTAAAAGAATAGTTATCGAAGTTAAAAATCTTAATATATTTCTAGTGTAAAATGATGATKACAAGGAAACAAATTCATCAATGTGAAATCAATACTTAATATATTCTAATATTCATCGCTCCGTCTGAAATTTGTTTATCATTATATGTATATATATTTTTTTTTCAGGAACGTTTTTGGACAAAGCCGAACTAAGCTACTTACTTAATAAATGTATAGATTCTGGAAATGAATCACTATCCTGAAAATGAGTTTTAAATAAAAAATATGAACAATTCTAAACAATGGTTGTAATTTTCATTAATAATTATAAACATTTTTTATTATTCATTACTAGTGGAACCTGTGCATTTGTAGCCAGTTAAAAATCCTACTTTATTTATGGCTTAAACTGTGTGTTAAATTTGTTTCCTGTGATTATGCATTTTTGTACATATGGATAGCCAACGGTTAAGATATATTAAGTAATAATCTTACAACGATATTCAATTTAGTTTATCATTATGATTCCGACCAAGTTAAGTACAGATATATATTAGGCATATAGGCAGAAGATAGGCTAAGTTAAAAAATAACAAGCCTAAATATCATTAAATTGAATATTTGAATAAATTGTCAGCTTTATCTCGATAAAACGAATAAAATTACATAATGATAAACTAAATTGAATATAGTTGTAAAATTATTACTTAATATATTTTAATCGTTTCGATATAAATATATATGGTAGCATAATCATAGGAAATGAATTTAACACACAGTTTGAGCCATATATAAGAGGTGGGAATTTTGACGGGCTACGAAGTGCACGGGTCAGCTATAGTTGAATAATATTTATTGAAGTGCATAAATCTATGTAGAAAAAACACAAATATTTTGAGAAAAAAAATTACCAAAATATTATGTTAATATTTTAATGAAGTTATAATTAATGTATCAATTTGCAACAATTTGACGCCCACTTCTGAAAATATATTAAATTAATAAGTGCTAAATTAATATCAATCTTACTCACACCCCTTACCATATTCTTATTATTCTACACTATTTTTATTATAAAACCGATGGTTTTAGATAATTTTAAGTCACTTAGTTACATTACATGTGTTGGAATAATATTATTTGCTTAGACATAGCATAATATCTATTTTATACTCTTACAGCTCTTACGTGTCGGAAAACAACTCCAATTGTCATGATACTTAATCCCTATACATTTATAAAACAAAAACAAAATACCTTACAATGAAAATATTTAAAAAATTACCGTGATATTTGGCAATAGCTTTGCAACCGAAGTTGTTCCGTCTACGAAAGCATCTCATAACGTCAGTAAGTATACTTGTGACTTGTGAGTATATTTCGTATAATATATTCTCATGTCGATGAGAGCTGTCTGTAATTATAATAATAAAATAGTTTCTTGTGTTCTACCTACTATAAATTCTCTAGCAGATAATATTTATGTGAAAATGTTAATATATCGTAAACAAAATTCGAAGGAGTATAGTATCATAATTAGTAAAATATCTATGTACGTGCTTATAGGATAAAAATTCATAATGATTTTGTATGTAAAATAATAAATATAATACTTAATAATTACAAATATACATTAGGTATACAATGTAGTGGATATTTATTATACTTCAAATTACAAAATATTCATGGATTGACTGTTATATAAACGGTTACTACACGGACTATAAAATATTTCTTTTTACATAGTCAAGTAATTTAAAAGCTACTCATTAAAATTTAGATTTAGATATGGATATGACATTTTCAGAATAATTGACTCCCTAACAATAAAAAATATTTCCATTTGATAAGGATTAGTTTGTATGCTTACAGAACATGTAATTTTTAAATAGTAGGTAATAAAAATAATAAGTAGGTATATGTAAATATTGATGTATTATAGCTATGACTTGTCGAAAATTCCAAAAATCATAATTTTAAGAATGCATTATCAAAAATGAAAACGGGGTATGAATGAACGGAAAGCTTGTTGAATCGTATACGTATCTTAACATATATTATCCCTACTGGTAGACGTCACCAAAGACGTCGTTGGTGAACAACGGAAACCTATAGTTTCGACAACAAAGGCTCTCAAACACCGTTAGAGATGTTGTTGAAATCAAATAAATGACTGCGGCCCTGTGGCGTCAACGGACGCACTATTAGTCTTTCTCGGGCAGGCGGTTATACGCGGCTGAAATGCTCAAGTCCTTCACACCTACCGCACGGGTGCCTCGAAGAGAAAACCCGTGAATTGCGTAGGAGAAGTTGAAACGACACGAGATGAAGATAGCTGTGGAAAAAGAATAGAAAAGAAACCGTTTGAACGAGTCGACGTGAATATTACCCCCATATATATAATAATAATATATTGTGTATAAGTACGCATCACGAGTCTCGCTGATAACCAAATAGTGGCTTTTAGTATTACTATATATAATATAAATAGGCCCCTCGAGCAAAAGTCCGATTTTAATTAACCGTATTCGGCGGTTTGTCAGCGCGTCGAAATAAATAATGTTTTCGCCACCGCCGCTGTGTGAATAATCGCTTGCGATGGCCTCGAGCTGGTCGACAACCATCGCATTCGTTTGTAGTTCCGGAAGTATAATATATATATTATATTGTAACCGCCTATATCCGCCTTTTTTCTGTTTGTCACCGAAATGCGACTGTATTCGTTAAGGTATAATACTTACATGCGGCACCTATACAAATTATTATAGTCAATATTCGAATTGAGATTGCGAAGCCTCAAATAATCTCCTCGCATTCCTAAACGTTGAATATCACATTTCAGCTTATAAGTTATGGCATTTTAATTTTTATATTCTAAATACAATATATTTAACTATGTAATGTTTAAAATTTACCTCTGTAAAAATTGAAATTAGTGATTTAAACTAAGAATAATGACGATTTTAGTTATATTTTGTTGTAATTTCAATATACATTTTACGGCTTACGTAACATTCTACGGAGTAAACGAGAGTCGTGGGTGTGCGTTTACTTAGGATTTGAATCCGACCATAGCACGGAAGGATCGATGGATGACGACGAGCAGCTTGAAGTCTTGAAGAGAAGTCTTGTGCTTGACGCAGTGGTTGATAGAAGTGTTCGTCCATCTCCTTATCTGTGTATTGTATAAATATAATAAATTATCATAATTATGATACGTTTTTAGTTGAATTTCACAAATATTATCAAATCATCATGATAAGATTCTTATCCATTTTCAAGAATCTTTTATCAAAGTGTTATTTTATTTTATTATGAATGCACAATAATATTATATACTTTTCAAGAAATGTAAATTGTGAACAACAAAAAAGTACATGTCATATTTTTGAACTTTAAATAACTTTATTTTCATGAGTTGTTTCTTAAAAACTATTAGGACATATCAGTTTTGACCTCTCTGTTGACTGTTATAGGTACCTACCAGAACAGATTCTATAGTTTTCCCATCGGAACAGTCTCTAAAACTAAGTATAAAACTTTTATTGTTTTTAGTACTATATCGTTTTTAAACTTTTTTAAATGATACTCTGCAGTATTCCTACTTTTGGGGATATCTATTAACTTATTTTTCTATAAAGTTAAAATAACTACCTATTCTTACCAACAATTTTAAGTTCGATTTATCTATTTAATTCCTATCCAATTAATTATGTTGGCAATTTTGATAAAATGTGCGTATAATTGCTCAAAATTTGATAAAAAAAAACTAATATTGTAAGGTGCTCATAATATCTATGTCGATTTCTAATATTATGACGTCAAAGTTTGTCAAAGTTATTTAAAAATATGTATAAGTAATCATTTATAACTATTTTTATTTTGTTTACGTCATATCATTTTTTAATTTTATCTTATTGAGTTGACTAAACAATCCGTGCAAAACACTTACCGTACTGAATTGTGCCAAAACAGTAAATGCGTTTGGTTTATAATAATATAATATCCACATAGACGACCTTTCGTTTAATGATAAACACGTTAAATTATTATAACTGGTGTTGTATAATATAATATTATATCATAAACGATTATTATACATTGTGTGATGGTGTCGTTCTAATCGCTAATAGAGTCGATGTCGACGATTATGTTAACGGTGATGCTGATGACAATAATAATAAAGTGACAGTTGTTTGCAGAGATTTGAAGTGGACACCGGTCGATGTCTTTCCAAGCCCGCAAAAAACTCCCCCGAACCTCTCCTAATAACATTATAATATGTACGCGTACGTCCGAAAACCACTCGACCAACTGTTCTCCTCTCGTAAAACATTTTTTTTTTCATTCCCTTCTATTTCTTTACGCGTTACACACTTTGTAGGTTCTGATCGAATCACGACCATTGGAAATGCGATCCGCCGCAGTGTGTAATCGTCGAGGACTTTGAGGGGATATAATATAATATATATTATGTTTATTATATCATTATCGTAGAAAAATAATAAAACAATTAACCCGCGCCGCGGCGGTCCGTCCCGAAATGCCCAAGTGGTTGCCTTTAATATATCATTATTATATTTTATTCCGTATAATAATACATGCTCAGTAACTCCGGCATGTGTTACGTATATATTATATATTCGATTTTGGCAGTATGTCATGTATACAGTTTTGTGTAGTGAGTTAACAATAGTACAATACGCACATCGTCGAAGTTGTGGTTGGTTTATTAATATATTATAATATACTCTTGTGAACGTAGTTGTATAGTGTGGTGAGTAATAATTATGACGATTATTATCCTTATTTGTTAATATAATTAGTATATGACATAACAAACGTAGTCAGTCGAATAGTTTCCGAAGTAGCTATTATAGCTTCAGCAATGAATGATATGATATATATAGAGAAAAATATTTCGTTAAAAAAAAACAGTAAAAAGATCATTTAATTAATTTTATATTATAATTATGATAAAATATATTTTATAATTAAATATTAAATTTGTTGAGTAGACAAATTATTTTTCCTTAAAAAAAAATAGAAGTAATATTAATAATTTCCATGAACATGTCGTGCCATTGCTTTTTATTTTTTTTAAAGTTTTACGAACATAAGTCATTTTAACTTGTTGTTGATTAAGTTACATTTTTTTTTTTTAAACATTTGAATAAAAGATATTAGACAATAGAATAATGTTAGTAATAAAATATCATCGTCTACATTTTAGTATTTACAACTCAGAGACAAAAAAAAAATGCATAAAAAAACTGTGAGCAGAATTGATGTATTAGAAGAAGTTTATTGGTAATTTTTTTATGTAGGTACTCAGTTATTATGAGTAGCTGGAAGTTCTCGTACAAACCACGAAACATTTGATATGGTTCTCAGAACTTTTAATTGGAAAATTTGTATTTTGTGTATGTGGGTTTTAGCATAATTTCCTCACACAGGAGCTGCGTACAGAAGTAACGGTCGTAGGATTTGCTTATACAGCGTAAGAGAACATCATCTCCTGTTGTAGTTTGGAGGTGATATGTGGATTTTGTGTTAATTTTCTGTCAAAATTACACCGAGGCATTTGATATTAGGTGCCCAAGAAATACTAT